TCCCCCTCTCCCCTCCTCTACGTCTTCCAGGCTGCACAAGCACGGTCAGTGTTTCGCTCACGACACGTTCGACACGCTGCCGCACGTGCAGCGGCCGGCGCCGAAGCTCTGGAACCAGCAGACGATCCGGGAGGACTTCCCCGAGGTGAGCTATTGTGACATGATGACGTCAGACGATGGCCTGTTCCGCTGGCTCGACTACATACACAAGTACGGGCTGGCCTTCCTCAGAGGTAAGTGTGTGCGTGCGTGTGTGCGTGTGCGAGTGCGTGCGCGTGCGCGTGTGCGTGTGCGTGTGCGTGTGCGTGTGCGAGTGCGTGTGCGTGTGCGTGCGCGTGTGCGTGTGCGTGCATGCGTGAAGGGTGATTTGTGTGTACATGAGGACAACGTGATGGTTTTCGCAGAGTACTCATTAACCCCCACTCCACCCAACCGCACCCCATACTTAATTAAAGCTATTGACCAACCAGATCGATACCGTATTGATCAGCTATCGATTATCACCGTATTCTCACAGGCGTGCCCTTGAACAAGGACGAGATCATCAAGGTCGTTCAGAGGTTCGCCTACGTTAAGCAGACGAGTTACGGCATCACATTCGACGTTGTCAACGAGCCGGACCCGGAAGCGCACCTCGCCTTCACGGGAGTGCATCTCGATCACCACACCGACATGAACTACAGGGAGAAGTCTCCCGGTACGACGCCAGATGGCGCGGTGGTGGCGGGGTACGACGCTAGGGGGCGCGGTGGTGATGGCGGGGTTAGAGGGCGTGGTGGTGGTGGCGGGGTTAGAGGGCGCGGTGGTGGTGGCGGGGTACGACGCTAGGGGGCGCGGTGGTGGCGGCAGGATACGACGCTAGGGGGCGTGCTGGTGGTGGGGTACGACGCTAGGGGGCGTGGTGGTGGCGGAGGTGTGATGGTAATGGGGTGGACGTGTGTAAGGTACGATGGAAAGAGGAAGGAGGAAAGGAGCAAGAGAAAAAGAATGTATAATAATAGAGTGAGAAGAGAGGAGGCAGAAAAGGATAGTTGGAGAGAGAAAGAGGAGAGATGTTAAGAAGGAAAAAGAGATAGAAGGACAGACCTCTCCCGGTACGATGCTAGGGGGCCTGCTGGTGGTGGCGGCGGGGGGTGTGATGGGGAAGAGGAAGAGGAAGAGGAAGGGGAGATGGTTTGCGTGTGTAAAGCGAGAAGGACGAGAAGAAGGAGAAGGATGAGAGGTTTAAAAGAAAAATAAAGTGTAAAGTGAGGGAGATAAAAAAAACGGGAGAGAAAGACCGATGGGGTGAGAAGGCGAAGGAGAAAGAGAGCGCGAGTCAGTGAGAGAGTGAGAGAGAGAGAGCTGGAGAGAAAGAGAGCGAGAGAGAGCGAGAGAGAGCGAGAGCTGGAGAGAAAGAGAGCGAGAGAGCGCGAGAAAGAGAGAGAGGGAGAGTGAGAGAGAGAGCGAGAGAGAGAGAGAGAAGGGGGGGAGACGAAGTAAGGAAGAGAGAGAGAGAGAGAAAAAAAAGAAAGAGAGAGAGAGAGTGATAGGAAGAGAGAGAGAGAGAGAGATAGATTAGTTTGTTTGTTAACGTCTCATGACATCCGGTTATCTTATCTCGTAAACAACAAACCTTGTAGTAAACATTGTACGATTGCCAATACATACACGCGAACTAAGATCATGTGCGCGTCTGGGAAGTTCCTATAAAAGGGAAAACGATGATTGGGGAGGTAGAGAGGGTGAGAGAACAAGAGAGAAATAGCGAGGCAAGGGAGGGAGAGGGGAAGGGAGGTAATGAAAACGAGCGAGAAGTTGGTAGGGAGGAAGATGAAAAGAAGTGTGTGTGTGTGTGCGTGCGTGTGCGTGTGCGTGTGCGTGTGTGTGCGCGTGCGTGTGCGTGTGTGCGCGCGTGCGTGTGCGTGGGCGTGAGTGCGTGCGTGCGTGCGTGTGCGTGTGCGTGAGTGCGAGGGATGAGTTTGTTTGGCAACATATATTGAAACGGGACAGAACCAGTCACGCAATCTCGCCAACAACAAATATTGTGCCAGGTGTGGTTGGACGAGTACCAACACACACACGCACACACACACACACACACACACACACACACACACACA